TGTATGCAAAGATTAATGTTATACCAAGAATTTGCTCTCTATAAGTAAATCCATATTGATTTGATGGTGGCAAAATAGCACACATGATTTTTGATGCATCAACTGATACTTTAATATGATGAATGAGGAGCATATATGCATGTCCTTTAAAGGCTAATTATTTTGGTTAATCAGCGTGTTCCTCAAAGTAGCACTAATCTAGGATTATGTTTCACATTTCCTCTTATAAACAGTGGAACAGGATGAATGTTCTAATGTTCAGCGTAGACAACTCGACCACATTCATAGAAAAATTGATCAATTTGAGTGCTCATTGCCCACATGCTGTCACCTATCAATGTCAGATGCACTAAATTACCAAACTTTTCGGAAGTTAACTCAAAAACTATATTTTCATGTTCTAGCGCCATCAAATGTATGCAGTTCACTTTCTGATTCACGATAATTTCCACGAATTTTTTGAAGAAAATCAATGATATGTTCGATTTAAGGTGCAATGTTTAATGTGTTGTTTTCGTTGGCAAGCGATGGAGGATCACAATCACCGTGCGCATCACCAGGAAGTAAGTTCAACAATACTTCGACACTGAATATCTCCGAGAGCTGATTCGTTGTTTGAACACGCCGAATAATTTTTATGTGGTGTTTCTTTTCGAGATATGAAAAAAAATTTAAGTTTGCATGAAATGTTTTACTGGACGTCTTCAGACGACGTTCAGCTTCCTCGATGAGAGTAAATAACAATGCGCAAACAATCATTACCACGGCGAAATTCAAAAAAAAGCAGTCTGTCACAAACGATTGTTTTCTTAGCGAATTGCATTGAATTCTTATGATCCTACCGGCCTTACAAAAAAAATACAGATATTCAACAAAGCATGTGACTGGACCCATTGAACACTTGCATTGTTAATATCTTCGAGTAGTGCAACTGCGAGATTTTTTTCATCTGATGGATTCAGTAATAATCTCAGTTCTATTGAATTCATAACCTGTGTTGATTGCTTTTTGATCCACTATCTTTTGTTCTATCCAAATTGCATTGTCTAAATGGTTGTCTATTCGGAGGATAATAAGAAAAAACTGAGACATATTCGGACGTATAATGCCACATTTATGAACGTTAATCCTGGTGCCCTATCGAATAAATGTGTTTCGTTGATTTTTGCTCATCAGAATAAAACCAAAAACTGCCTGATATACTGTTCATTGAGTCGAAGCATAGTGCATTCGCTGAAATGATGATGAGATATCTCAAATTCAATGACCGTATTGTTTCAATTCCGTGCGAACATCAAGCCATTACAAGCAGCTTGATTTCCAGGTTCCAGTCGAGACCATCTGCTCAACACAGTTTATAAACAGCATCGATTAAGACAACGAGTTCTCGAACCATACAGACGTATTAAGAATGCGCTGAAGAAGATGCAAACTGAGTATTCTCAGTCCAAGGAGAACAACATGTTTGCGAGGTATATGCGAATGCAAAGTATGATCCATGAGGTTCGCTAATGCCACTTAATTCATCTTCTTAAGCCGTTCAAATCGTATGCTATGGTTTGCTCATATTTATGGTTAATCAATTGCTCATGGTTACATCAGTCATAATCGTGCTAATTAAGCAAGCTGACGAAGTTGCAAAGCAATCAATGAACAATTGATCATGAACTGATATCTAGCGATCAGTGAATCATTTGAATAATTATGCTGGAAATAATCTTTGTAGCAAAAGAGATTTTCGATTCGCATTTACTTTCTTCTCTCAAAAGGAGACTGATGTAACCAGTGAAATCAGCATCCAGTCATCTTGATATGATTGATGCATGCAATTTCGTCAAGCAACATTTAGAGTACAGTTTATTTCAACCAATGATTTATTGAGTTATTGATAGTTTCGCGAATTTCTTGTTCATTTATTTACTAATCATCATTTTTGCTATCGCAGGTCCGCAAAATTAACGCA